AGCCCGGCGGCCCCGGCTCCCGGCCCCAGCTGCGAATAAAGGGCCCCTGGAAGCGGTATCCGCATGATCCCGCTCTCCCAAGAGTCGGGATTCGCTTCCTAGCGCGCTTTGGTCGTGCGCAGAGGCCGCACGTATCCCGGATAGCCGCTCCCTAGGGAGAAAGGAGCCTCCGGGAAGGCAGTGGGAACGGAGACCCGTGGTGGAAGGAAGGAAAGGGAGGAAGGGGGGGAGGGGGCCGCGGGGCGCGCGGCGGCTCCTGCCCGGTGGGACCTGGGCCCATGTCGCCTCCGCGCGGCTCCGCTCCTGGGGTTGCGCCTCCCGCAGGGGAGCTCCCCGGCCGTGGCACCCACGTAAACACACGAGCGATCGGGGTTTTCTTTTGTATTATACCATATATAGTACACGTACGTGGTATATTGGTCCCTTAGGATGGACCAGGTTTGTTCTTGTCTGTGAAGACTCTTAATTCCTTTCTCCTCTCCCACTCTCGCTTGCCGGGGGTTAGTTCACCGTATTTCAGGCAGTGGAAGGGATCTCTGGTGTTCAAGGAGGTTGGGTCTGTAAAACACCTAGTCGTGCCAGCTAGGGCTTCTCTTTACGAGTTACCTGGCAGCAGTTGTTTTCCTCCCAACACGGCGTTCGTGTTCCTATTCCTTCCTGATCTGTGAGCTGCAAGTCGCTGACAGCTGCAAATAAAACTCATCCCCTATCGAAACAGAAATCTGGGGGTTAGGGCATGAGTTCACATTTTGACAGAAGTTTCACCAGTGTTTTCTTTTGGAATATATATATATATTTTAAATTAAAAACCCCAGACCAAACTTTACTTTTCAGTAATTCAGCTAACTTGTTTGTAATTTGATACGTGTATATTCTTTACGTTAGGTCTGTTCCTGAAGAACTGGGCAGCTTTGAACAGTTGCAGGAACCGAATGCTCCGTTGGCCGCCCCGTGAGGGTGCGTTTTTGTTGTTGCTGTCAAAATGGCCCAAGGAAGAGGTTTTTGAGTGACACGTGACAGAGCTGAGCTAGAATCCCTTAGCGCGGGGCTTCTGGCCAGCTCGGAAGCGCAGCGGCCGCCTGGGTGCTGCTGCTGACTTCGTGTGCAGTTTTGTAGAGTGATTTAAACATCCTGAGCTACTAAATCTTTTTCTTTATTGTTGAACTTGATGAGAGCTAATTCAGTTGTGAGCCACGAGTACAGAAATGTAGCACAGATCACATGGGAAAAAGCTCTTTTTTCCTCCCTTTTTATTAAAC